GATTGGCCCAGAAGGACCACAGATTGGGAATGAAATTCCCCAGACTGGCCCAGAAGGACCACAGATTGGGAATGAAATTCCCCAGACTGGCCCAGAAGGACCACAGATTGGGAATGAAATTCCCCAGACCGATAGGAAAATCCTGTCGCAGACGGTGAGTCACGGAAAACCGTGTGGGGCGTCCCCCGGTCACCAGAGAACAGAGAACAGATAACAAAAACAGGTAACAAAAATTGCCCGGTTGGCTCGGGGCGTAAAATACCGGTAGATTGATCCTCAGAGTAAAAATAAGAAGCGACCGGTCGTACTCACCCACCGCAGAGCCGTTGAGGTCACCTCCCGTGAGACGTGCTATCTCGGTGGGGCCTCCAAGATGTTAGGGCCGACGCCGCAGGGAAAGAGACCCCAAGGACTCAATTCTTGGTGAGGGAAAAAAGTTTATTTCCATGCGCATGGGGTCCCCCAGGCAAACAAGTGCGGAGGGGCCCCGAGGGGGAATTGTGTAGGGTTTTTAAGGGCGCAAACGGGAGGCAAGCGAGTTTACAGAAGCAGATTGCATTGGTTAATTTTGAGCAGCATAGGATTTGGCAGAAGTTGATTGGAGGGGTTTGGGGTTGAGTAACCATGGAGACTGGGGGTCTTAGCCCAGTCACTATGTGCCCAGAACAGAACAGTTACTTGTCTTACTTATCTCGTTGAGACAGAACAACCTTGCAGGTGCATTTTTTCTTTTTTTTTTCTCTGCTCTGATAGCTCTGGGGAGTTAGAGAGTTAACCCTTTTATTCCCCGCTCTGGGGAGTTAGGGAGTTAACCCTTTTATTTCCCGCTCTGGGGAGTTAGGGAGTTAACCCTTTCAATTCCAGAACCTAATTTCTTCTGTTTCCCATCGGATGTTCAGGTGTGTTAAGTTGTTAAGTTGCCAGGTATTTATAAAACTTTCTGTGGTGTGTGGTGTAATTGATTTCTATTTTCTTTCTTTTTTGTTGTTATTTTTCTTGGTAACAGGGATCAAACTCACAACCTCATGTTTGCCAGCCCCATTTGATTTCTATTTTCAATGTACTATGTATGGCCTGAAGTAAATGTGGAATGGTTTTGGTTGTTTTTGTTTTGTTTTGTTTTTTGGTTGTTTTTGTTTGTTTTTTGTTCTGGGACTCAAACTCAGGACCTTGTGCTTGATAGGCAGGTGCTGTGCCACCAAACTATATCCCTGGCTCTATAATTTTGATTGTTTCATATTTATTTAAGCATGCTTTGTGGAATAATATTGTTGGGGCACAATTATAATGTGAGAACACTTGTACAAAATAGCAAACTTACAAGTATTTCATAGAGAGCAGTTAGAAGCCTCTGACCAAGTTTCTGCCGCTTCTGCTGAATTCAGTTGTCATTGTCTGTGTCTAAAGCCCAGCTGCACACTTCTGATAAACACTGAGTCACAATGATTGTCTATGCCTTAAGGCACCCTGGAGTAGTAAGGACTACTTGCTAAGGACCTTTAACTATGCTCACTTTGTAAGGGCCCTCCTCCCCCAATGTTGTTTCAACAAATCTGTTTTAGAGTAGCCTGCCTGTCAATATATGACTTGAAGCAGGTATCCAATTACGTAATGTTTGTCACTTGCTTTGTACTTCCCACTTCTAAATGCCCATGCTGCTTTTTTTTTCCCCCCCTTTTTGGTACCAGGAATTAAACTCACAGCCTCATGCTTGCCAGGCAGGAGCTTACACCACTGAGCTAAATCCCTGGCCCCTGCCACTACCTTCTTATCTCCTTGGTGTGAAGAGTGTTCGTTTCAGTTTTGACTTTTTCTTGCAATCATATTTGGTTTATTTTGGAGAAAGTTTGGTGCTGAGAAAAATGTGTATTCTGTTGTAGAGTAGAACACTCTAGATATCTTAGTCCATTGTTTTGAAGATGCGGTTCAACACTTATTTGTTGATTTTGGTTTGGTTTGGTTAATATGTCTCTTTGTAAAGTGAGATAGTCAAGGCACCGTTATGATTTTCCTGATATTTATGTACTGCAGTATTTGTTTTATAAAGACAAGTGTTCCAGTACCAGGCATATGTATATTTACAGCTGTAGTCTTTTCCTATTGGATGGTTTCCTTAACTAGAATGTAGTAACTTTCTTTGCCTGATCAGTTTTAGCTTGAAGGTTACTTTGTATGAAAGTAAAACTACTCCCCTTGCAATTTATAAATTTTATACTATTTTTATTTTATTTTGGTACCAGGAATTGAACTCAGGACCTTGTGCTTGCCAGGCAGGAGCTTGTGCTGCTGAGCTTTATACCCAGCCCTACTTTTTACTTCTGAAATTTCTGTCTAATACGTTTTTGTCCAGTCTATATCTTTGGTAAATTTGTCTTTTATGTTTTAAAACTGTTTTGGTCAGCTCTTCCAATTGTTTGTTTCTCCCATATTGCTAAATCAAAGAAAAAAAATCTGGTGGGAATCCTTAACTTCACTTCTACTCTGCAAGCAGCCACAGTAATTTTTGCTTTGGTCTTGTACTCAAAACCAATCCAAAACCAAAAAAACCCCTAAACTAACTCAGCCTCAAGAATTCTCTCCTCCAGCCAGCACATAGAATAGGACACTATCCCTGGACTTCTTAGGGACTTTTCCCCCTCTGCATTATGGTAGAGTCAGCACATGTGCTCATGTGCTCACTTGGATCACATGATCATCCTCAGGTGTCCACAGACCTATCCCTTGTTTGTCCTTTTTGCCCAAAGGGGGAGATATTGAGAAGGGCTGGTATTTGCACTGTCTGACCTACGCCTCTGTGGTTTGTTGATTCCCTGAGGCTGTCTGGGATGATTTCAGGATGGCTGCTTTCTGGAGGGGTAACTGCAGCCATGGCAGCACTGCTTCCTGAGGATCTGGATGTTTGGATAGATCTACATGTATCATCTTCCCTTGTCCTAGTAGCTGTTTTTCTTAGTTTCCTTTTGCTAAAAACAATACCAAATGATCACAATTTAAAGGAAGAGAGGTTTATTTTGACTCACTTTCACTTCATGGTCAACTGGCCCAAGACAGAAACAGCCTGGGTAGAAGATAGGAATTCATTCTGTAGCAGCTGAAAAGCTGGGGACAACAGTATACCCTCATTCCCTCAAGTCATACCCAGTAACCCACCTCCAACCAGACCCTACCTCCTAAATGCACACTCAGCTACTGAACTCATCAACAGATGAATTCATCAATAGATGAATCCACTGATGAGTGTAATGATTCAATGATTTTGCACGTATGAGAATTTAGGGGGACTTTTTTTGTTGTTTTGTATTTTGAGACAGGTAGTTAACACTGGTCACGAACTATGTAGCCCAGGCTGGCCTTAGACTCATGGTGATCCTCATGCTTTAGCCTCCCAAGTGCTGAGGTTATAAGAATGTACCACCATGCTCAGCCATAAGAGTTCATGTTTCATAATTTTTTTTTTTTTTTGTTTGTACTGGAAATTGCCAGGCAGGCACTGTGCCACTGAGATATACCTCCGGCTTGTTTCATAGTATTAGCATTTTTTCCCCCATAATATTAACAGGCTAGATAATTTCTAGAATAGTCCTTAGTATAGATTTATCTGCAGTATCCTCAGATATCACATTTTTCAGCAGCAATACTACCGTGTACCATGTAATGCTATACATTCTCAGTGCATCATAGCAGGAGGTGGACATGATGTTGGTTTGCCCTGTTACTAGTCAGTCATATTAACTTCGATCTTTTGGTTAAGAGGGTCTATCAGATTTCTTCACTGTACAAACACTGTTCTTCCTCTTGTGGTTAGTAAGTACCTTTTGAAAATAAACTTTGAAGCTCTATAGATGTCCAATTATAGCTGTGTGTGGTGATGCATGCACTCAGGAGACTGAGACAGGAAGATTGCCACAAGTTCAAAGCTTGGACCACATAGGGAGTTCAAGGCCAGCCTGCACTAAAACAAAACTACATTGGGACCAGAGGTTTAGCTCAGTGGCACAAGCACCTGCCTGGCAAGTGTAAGGTCAATTCCCAGCACCAAAAAAAAAAAAAAACTAAAACTGAGCCAGATGTGGTAACACATGCTTATAATCCCAGCATTCAGGAGGCTGAGAAAGGAAAACTACAGAATTCAAGGCCAGCCCAAATTACATATAGTAAGACCCTGCTCAAAAACAAACAAAATCCTGATATTTATTAATCATCAATTTTTACACCCATTGATGATCCATGCCTGAATCAGTAATTGTGAAGATAGAAACTGGGGGTTGAACCAGGGCCTTTGCAGTGAAATGCATTCCCAGTCCCGTTTTTAAAATTTTTTTATTTTTTGAGATAAGGTCTTGCTGAGTTCCCAGGTTGGGCTTGAATTTTTGCTTTTTCTGTCTCACTCTCCCAGAGTGCTAGGATGGTGGGCATGTACAACCATATCCAGCCTGAATCAGTTATTTATCACCAAATGATTTTATAATTTTTTTTACATTTATTAATGGCTTTCCCTTGTCCTTCAGTGATTAATATCCACATGGATTCTTACAAAGTAGTTTATTATTTAGTGTAATGCTCAAAACATTAAACAGAACAAATTCTGAACAGAATTTGTTCAGAGAATTTCCCTAATCTAGGTTTTTAAGATTTTTATTAGTATATGTTTGCAGTACATAATGATAACATTCATTGCGGGGAGTACCTAACAGCTTAATTCTTTTTAGTTCTCTTCCCCACTCCATCTCTGGATCTTCTTCCATTTGCAAAAGATTTAGCTCCCTATTTCCTATTACCTTTTACTTTATTCTTTATACTAAATTTGGGTTTTATTCCAACCTGTTATTTAGTGCAAGTATCCTCTCTTTGAGCCTTAGTTTGTGTGTGTAGGATAGAGTTAGGTACCCTGGGTCGCAGGGGTGACTGAGTGAAATGCATCCAAGATTCTTGAGGACTAGCTTAGTCTTAGAAAGTCTGGAATTTCACAGTGGCTTTGTTTTGGCCCTCTTTCTCTGTAGGTATTCAGGGCATTGTAGATGCCTACCGCCAGGCCTTGCCTCAAATTCGCCTCTATGGGCCCACCAACTTTGCACCCATCATCAATCATGTAGCCAGATTCGCAGCCCAGGCTGCATATCAAAGGACTGCGTCAGTAAGTATTGTTTATAGTAGTGGGTTGTAAGAATGGTGTAACAAGGGAATGCATGGTCGGAATGTTGGGGGTGGGATTTGGAAAGAGCATCTGCCTAAATATATGTATGTGCTTGCTTCCAGCAATACTTTGTGCTGTTGCTGTTGACTGATGGTGCTGTGACAGATGTAGAGGCTACCTGCCAGGCTGTGGTAAATGCCTCAAAGCTGCCTATGTCAGTGATCATTGTGGGTGTGGGCGGAGCTGACTTTGAGGCCATGGAACGGTTGGATGCTGATGGTGGACCTCTACGTACACACTCTGGAGAGTCAGCAGCCCGTGACATAGTGCAGTTTGTGTCTTACCGTCGTTTCCAGAATGTGAGTAAGGGCAAGGCTGAGAGCAAACCAACCTGGGGGTTTATCCATCCACATGTTTTTTTTTTCCTTCTACATGCTATTGATACGGAGTTGAGGATCAGGAGATAAAAGCCCTTTCCTTAAAGTCTGGGGCAGTTTTGGATGTTGGGTTTAGCTGTAAACTTTGGGAAGCTGTTATTCCTCACCCCTGCCTCAGTGACTTTGCTCTTGTCCTTGCAGGCCCCTCGGGAAGCACTGGCACAAGCTGTGCTTGCTGAAGTGCCCACACAGCTGGTCTCCTACTTTAAAGCCCAGGGTTGGACCCCACTCAAAATGCCTCCATCCCCAGCCAAGGTTCCTGCACAGGCTCCCCAGGCCTAGGTGGTGCTTTAGATTTTATATCTGCTTATTATTTGCTACTTTTTTTTTTTTTTTTTTTGAACTCACGACCATGCGTTTGCAAGGCAGGCGCTTATGCCACTGAGCTAACTCCCCAACCCTGCTACTTTTTTTTTTAAAGACAGGGTCTCATTTTGTAGTGGACCCTGGCTTTAAACTCATTCTGTAGTCCAGGCTGGACTCAAATTCACAGTGATCCTTCAGCCTTAGCCTCCTGAATGCTGAGATTACAGGCAGGCCTGTTACTGCTATTCTCGATCTCATGCTTGTTCTTGGCCCCTCTTATTCAATAAAGACCAGTAAAAACCACTGCTGTGCCCTACTAGTCTGTGTTCCTGGACTTTGATTCTTATACCTTAGCCTTCTGAGTAATTGGTACTATAGGCATGTACTACCATCCCCAGCTTCCCAAACCCTTTTTATGTAGTCTTGAGGATGAGGTATCCTGACCAAGCTGCATCCAATTTCTGATTTTCCTGTCTCAGGCTCCCAGGGTGCTAAGATTACTGCTCCTAGTTCATATCAGTAAGCTAAGGCTTTGTAGTACTGGGGATTCAAACTAGAGCTCCATCCCCAGCATCCCACTCTACCCCTCTAAGTCACTGTGTCACCCAGGCTGGGCTTGAACTTGCCCTCACCCTACCTCAGCTGGGATTACAGGTATATACCACCATGTCCGGCTAACCTTAGGGTTTTTTTAAGACAGGGTCTCACTTTGTAGTGCAGGCTGGCCAGCATCCAAGGCACTGTAGATGAACTCACTATGTCACCCAGGCTGGCCTCAAACTTATGATCCTCCTGCCTCAGCCTCCCTAAATGGTGGGAGTTCAGGTGTGTACACCCATGTCCAGCTAGCCTTAGATTTTGAGAGCACTTGGTACAGGGTGTTTGTCTTCAAATTATGAAAGAATATCCCCCAAGTTTAAACAGATGGATGTGTTCTACTTCTGCATAGACACAGCTATGTGTTAGATACTTGCAGGCCTATTTCGTAGTAACCTGTTGGTAGTCTGACATTGATATACTGAGAAGGTTCCTACCATTAAAGATGTTGCATTTTTTTTTTGCTCATGTTAATCTCTATAGGGGAAGTAATCCTCTGTGCCTTAGCCAAAGTAATGTAACTGGCCCCACAAAATGAACTTTTTTTTGTCTTTGAGATAGGATTTTACTGTGCAGTTCAGGCTAGTCTTAAACTCAATATGTAGCCTAGGCTGGCCTCAACTCACGGCAATCCTCCTGCCTCAGCTTACCAATTGCTGGGATTACGGGCATGTGCCACCGAGCCCCACAAAATGAATTTTAAGTTAGATTATTTTTCCCTGTAGAGACAAGTGGCTTCTTCAGACCTAACACACAAATGGCTTCCACCTACCTCTCAGCTCAGATGAACAGAATATGCTGTCAGCAGATGCTGACACCAGGAGATCTCAGTCCACAGAATGAGCTGAGGATAGCTGGAAGTGACAAAGTAAGTGTGGTGATTGTGTGTTGTCCCATTCTACAAAAGACCCCTAAAAAGACCATGTTGAGGCATGTACCCCTAGATCTCTTGGAGCTAGTTGTAAATAAACTTTTTTTTTTTTTTTTTTTTACCAAAATAGATGACCTCCTTTGATTTAGTCAGCAGTAAGTAAATGAACCTAAGCATATGAACTTAGGTAACAGTAATACTACAACATTATTTTATAGTAAGTAAGCCACCATTTAGGTGTCCTGTGCGGACCCTTAGAAGGTGGTAATGCTGTGTTAGATGGCACCGAAACGCCTGTACATCACTGTATTGGCTGAGATCAATGCACTTCCTTTCATTTTGGGTGCAGGGAGTTGTTAGTTTTTTGAAACAGTCTCACTATACAGTTCAGGCAGGCCTTGAACTGTGTAGCCTAGGATAGCCTTGAACTCACCGTGATCCTCTTATCTCAGCCTCCTGTGTTCTGTGATTATAGGCGTGCCTCACAGCTAACTGGAATTCCATGTAAGAAGGGGGAACAGAATATGAATTTGTAATTCTCTCCATGGATTCTAGTTTTTACTTCTGCTTTTTGCTCTGACAGCTGTACATAAATAGGCGCTTTGTAAGTAGAATGTGTATGTGAGAACTTTGGTGGTGCAGCTGCCTGTTAGCTTTCCACTGCTCTGTAACCTCTAATAAACTCATTCACTAAGCTGGTCTTGCCTGTGTTATTCATTGGTCTTTTGGCATCTTCCCCATTTAGAGAGAGATTGATTGTTTCCTTGGGAAATTTGTAGAAATCCTCTTTTTATATTCCTAGTTAGAACTCAGTCCTTTGCCCATCTCTCTTTTTTAACCTCTGAGTCCATTTTTGAATTTTAGAGTAAAAATTCTTGGATCTATAAAGTTAGCCGTCCTATTTTTTTTTTTTTTTTTTTGGTCTTTTTGAAACAGGGTCTGGCTATGCAGTTCAGGCTGTCCTTGAGCTCACTTTATAGGCCAGGCTGGTCTCGAACTCCTATTGATCCTCCTGCCTCAGCCTCCCAAGTGCTGGGATTATAGGCATAATGTCCTGTTTGTTTGAGCAGCATCTTTCCCTCTTCTGGATCAAGGGCAAGGGGGCTGAACTAGATTACTTAAACTGTGTCTCACAGAGTCAGACTCAGGTTTTAGTAAAAACCCTTTGTAAAGGCTGCTAGAATTGGATCAACCCAGAAGCTTTCCAGAGGATCTCATTTCCCCTTCACCTACAACTAACAATACCGACATTAGGGGCAGGAACTGAGAAGCACAGTTGTGACTTTAGCTGCCTGGCAGCTCTGCAGCTGTATTCTTGGAGGAATACAGCTCTGCATCACATTTTAGCATAAACTTCATTGGCTGTGTCACCTTGAGAAAGAGAGTTTTATGTCTAGGGTAGAATATCCATAGCACTGGCTGGTCCGATGGCAGTGGGTTATCAGAACTTATTAACATTAGTGTCACTAAAGTTGGTATGCCACCCCCCCACTGCTAAATTTGACTGGATTTTAAAAAACAAAGAATATCCATAGCACTGTCTCTTGCATATGTTAAATATTCCATAAGCATCAACTGCTGCCTTATTAATCTGGAGTAAGACAGGTAGACTGTACCATACTTACACGCTAGAGGCAGCCAGAACTCTCTCCTGACAGCATTTGCCAGCACTGATTCAGCTTCCTTCAGCAAAAAAGTTCAGTGGACTCCAATCATCAGCGTGTTTAATGGGGCCCCCTAGTGGCCCCTGTGGCACTACCCTCTCCCTCTGAGATTCTTAAACCATGGGCACGGACTCGATACAAGCACGTGAAACGTGGGTGGCCCCAGTTGCTTAGAATCTGGATCTTCACCTTGGGAAAGGCAGATGGAGAGTCATTCTGGGGAGATAAATAGGGCATGCCAAGAAATGCGCTCAAGCACTGTCCTGCATGTTCATCTCCCACTGCCCCATTGCCTTACCATCTTTGCCCCTAGACAAACACACCTGTAGGTGGAAAGTCTGAATCGCAAATTTCTTCACGTCAAAGGTGAACCTCCCCAAGAAAACTTCAGTCTTATCATCAACCTGGAGACCCTGGTGAGGGAAGAGTGAATGGAGGCACAGTGAGGCACACGCTGAGAGGACGGGAAAACAACTTTGTTGAGGCTCTTCTGTGTGTTCAGTAGTGCTCGCTACATGTGCTCTCATGTATGTTCTGATCATAGGTTGTGTAGTATGGAACGTGGGTGCTAAGAAACCAGTTTTTAGTATGGCCAATTTTATGTCCTTGAGCAAGTAATAGCATTACTTTCTTCGTATCTAAAGAGGGAGATTATCGTACTTCCATAGTTTTTATGTGGATGCAATAAAATATGTAAAGTGCTTGGCACAAAGTAATACCTACTATTTGGATATGCTGTTATAACTTAGAGCAGCAGCAGCCCTGACAAAGAAATCTTAGTATGTCCAATTTATACCTATGACTCAAATTCCCGCACCAGTTCTGGAGACTACCTAGTGTGTTCTAAGCAAAATGCTCCAACTCCAGCTCCACTCACAAAGACTGCAAAGTCTCGGGGGGCACTGCTGGCATCTTCCGTGTGTGCCACGCTGGGTGGGGGATGCTGCAGGGTGATGTCACTCAGCTGCACACGGCCTGCCAACCGGATCACAACTTGGCCTTGGTGGCCCTGAAAAGCCCAGCAATTCCCAGGGAATACATCTGGCTGCAGAAGGGTGGTCGTGGGAGGAGACACCATGAGAACCTAAGGACTGTGGCTACTGCCCCTCACCCACCTCCAGGCCTAAGCCTACCCTGATCCTACCATGGCCCAGATCCCACCCAGGGCTTAGTCTCTTGCACTGCCAGTTCTCTTCAGTTCCCCAGGTTTGCTCAAGAGTTTCCCTTGGGGAAGGCCAGATTCAGTCTTCCCAACTGCCCCTCAAATCAGCCAGGTCCTGACTCCATGGAGCTGGTCCTTTCTCCAGCATCTATCACTTGGTTCTATCCCAGGATCCTGGTTCCAGGCCCACCTCCAGGATGACCGTAGGTGGCCGTGCGTAATTCCAGAAGCTGAAGCGATTCCAGAAATAGGCCATGTTTGTGTCCTCATAGTCATGGGATGTCTTCTCTAGGTCAATGGTGGCTCCTGGAGCAGGAAGAAACAACCCTCAGGGGATTAGGTCTCACAGCTGAGGAAGAGGTCTGTCAGTGTCTCCGTCTCCTTTGGTGTCCCTCCTTTGGTCTTACCCACGGAGCTCAGGGCATAGTCTGGTTTCTGCACGAAGTCCTCATTCAGTCGCTGGAACACTAGCTTGGCAACTCTCTGAGGGGGGTAGGTGGGAGGGGCGGAGCTTACGGGCTGTTTCCACAGGTGGGCCAGGCTCTGGGAACTCTGGCATGGACTTTGTGGGCCCAAGGGAGACCTGCAGTGAGGCTAGTTTAGTCCCAGGCCCCATCCTGCAGAATCCGCCAGAGGTTTGCGGGGACCACAAGTGGGCGGAGCCACGGGACCAAGCTCCCCACCAGACCCCTGCGCAGCCTCCGGGCAGGCTGGCTCACCTCACTATGAGCCTTGCGAACGCGGGCCACCTCCTTGCGGAGTTTATTCAGCTCGGCCTGAAGCTGCTGCAGCTGCTGCCCATGGGAGCGCAAGCGCTCCTGGTGCTCGCTGGAGTGGGGAGGTGGGCGCCCTGCGGTCGGCTCCTTGTGTCCCCCTCCCTCAAGGCCCCCCTGCAGCATCTTTGGGCGGCCCAATCCCCATCCCAGATGCCCGGTTTCACCTGGGAGACAGCATCGCCTTAGGTTCCTATGGGGTGGAGGCAAATACAGCGACGCATCAGTTCCTGCCGCCCCACTTTCTCCCATGCCAGCCTGGAGGCAGCCACACTCACACTGCTCCTTTCTGAGAACTGTCCAGCCTCCCCTAAACCTTGTCTGACCCTCAGGATCGCAGCCCCTCAGAAATCTGTGTCCGGAGCTTCCTAATGGCCTCTGGTCCTGCTTCCTCCCAGCAGCCACACACACCACCACCACAGCCTCTACCCACCCAGGCTACAGTGTCCCCGACTCACATTCTCCAAAGGAGGGAGCAGGTGCAGGAGACTCCAAGAGAGTGCTGGAGAAAGGGGAAGGGGTTTCCTGGCATGAGGGTCAGTAAGAGCAGAGTGGTGGGGCGCAGGGGGAGGCTGGGGGCTCTGAAGGCCGAGTGGGCTGACGGACAAGGGGAAATGTGTGTCCAGAGCTGGACCCTGGGGTATCCGTGCCTCACCGGCTAGAAAGACGCTCAGCAGCGACGCAGCGGACAGGAAGTGGACTGAGCAGACCTCCCTGCGGGAACGGAGGGAGCTGAGGCCCCAGTTCCCTGGTCCACGCATCCGGGACCCCAGGGCTCTACACCCTCTAACCCGACACCCCATCGGCATCGACTCGAGCCTCGCGAGCCCGGCCTCGCCTCCACCTGCCCAAGCAGCGCCCGCGGCGCCCCCGCGCTCCCCCTGACCTGCACACACCGAGCAGCGCGTCCCGGACCAGCAACAACAGCACTCTCGGCACCTGGAAGAGGAGGCCTGGAGGAGGAGAACCGGATCAGAGAGGGAGCCCGAGGACGTTCGGGATTCCGCGGGGACTCACTCGGCAAGGAGACTGGGACCCAGGAGAGGCTGGACACCCGACAAGAGTCTCGGAGAGGGGCTCGGGCTATTGGCGCGTACTCAGGAAGCTCTTGGTCGCCCTCAGGGCAGGCATCTCCCGCCTCAGATCCAGGATCGCGAGAAGGCTCCGCTGCTCCTCAGAGACTGCGGGAGACGCAGCCGGTTCTGCCAGAGCCCACGGGCTCCACTGAGGCATTGCGCACCGCACTCACTCCCTTACCGCCCAGAGGTCCGGCCCCAAATTCTCCAGCCGAAGACTAGCAGGAGCCCCTCAGCCTGGAGGCCTAGGCGGGGCCTAGTCAGGATTTGGCCCCACCTCCAAATGATATCCCGCCCCGTTGGTGCAGTCCTCTTTCCAGGTAACCAATCACGTCCACAGGGAGGAGTTCCTCTGTAGCGCCCAATCACAGATCTTCCCCGCCCCTTCCCAGAGCCGTCCATCACACCGAGGCACCGTCCCCTAAGGGATTTTATTAAGCGCCTTCCCCTCCAGAGGCTACCCAACCAAATTGTAACCCGTTCCACGCGGGCCCCGCCCCACAAAACCGGCCCCGCCCCCTCCCTCAGCCCCACAGGTTCGACCCCGCCCGCACCCGAGGCCCCGCCCCTCACGGTTGCCGCGCCACACGCGGTCTCCAGGTTGTGGTTCCCAGGCGAAGGCTCCTGCCGAGAGCTTCCAGCCCATGAGCTTCCTCTGGGCAGTCTGCGGCGTAAGGCAGGCTCACCGCAGCTCGAGCCCCGGTCCCTTCTGCCCTCGGGCTCCCCGGGCCCCTGCCCAGGAAACCGGTGCCCGCTGCTGTCCCGCGAAGGGACGCTGTCTGAGCTGTCGCTGTTCTCGCTGTAGAAGCTGAGCCTGTGCTCTTGCGGGGAGGCGACCGAGCCGGGGCGGGGACTCCGCCGCATCCTGATCTACAGAGACTGCTCGAGGACACCCCAGTTGCTACGCAGCCACTTAGGCCCTCGGCCCTCAACCCTCCCAGCTGCTGCGCGCCGCGGGTGCCCCACCAACCCAGCGTGATCCCGAGGGCCGCGTGATCACACTCAGCCTTCTCTCCCTGCCTGTGCCCAGCGGCCACAGTCACAAAGGGGCTTGACGTCACAGTCGTGACGTCACGGAGAACTGTGGACTCTAGGCAGTCTGGTTCTTTGTAATGTTTAAGAAGAGCAATGACTTCAGAGCACTTACCAGGAACTCCTTGTGAAACTGCACGCAAACGGATTTCTGTCCCCCTTCCTTCCCTGCTGGGGTGTGTGTGTGTGTGTGTGTGTGTGTGTGTGTGTATGACTGGACTGAACGAAATTCACTCTACCACTTAGCCCTTTTTTTAAAATATTGAGACAAGGTCTCACTAAATTACTCAGGATGGCCTAGAACTTGCAATCACCCCACCTCAGCCTCTCTAGTAGGGAGTAGCTGGCATTACAGATGCATTCCACCATGTCCAGCTTTTCTCCTCTGTTCTCCACACTCACATAGTATGTAATTGACTTATTTTATTTTGCTTGTCATGGTCATTAGAACATAGTTTTTTTTTTTTTTTTTTTAACTTTTTATCGGTACCGGGGATCGAACTCACGACCGCCTACTTGCAAGGCAGGTGCTTATGCTCCTGAGCTAAATCCCCAGCCCCTAGAACATAGTTTGAGGGTGGTGATTTTTGTTGGTTTTGTTCACTTCTGTATCCTCTAATACCTTGGAAGACCTACTCGAATATTTACAAAGGAATGAATCTTAAGAACTAGAGCATATCCAGGGCACTTCTTAATAAACACTGTCTTCTTTGCTATGCACACCCTTTTGTTCTCTTTGTAATCCAAGTCATCAGGCCAGAGAACTCTGACCTCAGAATCTGTGGTCCTTTCCCCAGAAACGTTTCCACAAGTTTGGGGGTTAGAATTCAGTATCCACCAGTCACCATACCCAAGACCACATACCTGAGCCATGGAGAAAGAAATGAGAAATCACAGATCATTATGCTGGGAAGCCAGAGGTTTCCTAACTTCGACTGTACAACAGAACACAATGCTAATATAATTAATAGAAATTCAGGATCCCATTTACTCCTTGACTATGTTACCTCAGTATATCTGGGATGTGCCCAAGAATGTGGTTTTGTTTTGCTGTCCTGAGGACAAAAACTATGTGCACTTTACCACTAAGCTACATGCATAGCTCTTTTTCTTTTCTTTTTTTGTTTAAGATAGGGCTTTGCTATGTAGTTCACCACGGCCTGGAACTCACTATGTAATTTAGGTTGGCCTCAAACTTGTAATTATCCATCTGTAGCCTTCCATGCACCACTGTGCCAGGCTCTAGTCTCCCTCTCACTTATCCCTCTCCTTTTCTCTTTTTGCTGCCCAAGACAGTGGCCACTCTATTTTTGAGACAGGGTCTCACTAACTTGTGCAGGCTAGACTTGAACTTTTGATACTCCTGCCTCAGTGTCCTAAGTTACTGGGATTTTAGATGTGAGCACTTGGCTAGGAATGTGCATTTTAAACTATGTGCATGATTTTTATTTATGTCCACACTTTAAAGTAAGCTAGTACGTCTTGCGCAAATTACACAGCTAGGCAAACAGTCCAGAGAAGGCAAAAGACATGCCTGTGACTGCTTAAATGCATGACATAACAGATTAGAAGGCCAAAATCCTACTTTCTTTTTTTTCCAAATCCATTTATTTCAAGGAGAAAAAGCAAAAGAAGAATAAAAACTAAAACAATTTCAAAACACATCAACTGGGGCAACAGTGTGCATTGTCACTGTTGTACTTTACTTAAAAAACAGGGCCCCATGATGAAAAACGGGGCAAGACCCCAAGATGACAAACGGGGCAAGACGTCTTTTTTAAAAGAAGTGCTTTTATTTTAGCTGGCCCAGCAACACAGTGCAGATGGAATTTGCAAAGCTGTGCAACTGAGTTAGAGTTTTGACTGATTTTTATAGTTCATTTATGATTAGCTCATTGATTATTAAGTACATAGTGATGAGAAACAGAAATAAGGTGGGCCTTGTTCCCCTTTGCTTGAGGTAAGAAGCATTTCACAGTGGGTGGTTAGCCAATTCATAGCCCTTGGTCTGCCAATTCTGGGAACATTTGTCTCTCATAAAGGGAACAATGGTTGACACAGCATCATTTGTCTCTTACAAGGGGAACAAAAGTTGACATTGCACACAGGTCACTAAGGTAGGGGGGATGACGCATTACAGAACAGCAGAACGACGCGGTCAGTTAATTTATAACTATGTGGTTGGTGCTTGGTTACTAGGGTAATGAGCTCAGTACAGAATGACAATATTACTAACAACTACCTTTTTAAGTAACTATTTTTGTTAATTATCTTTTAATCAATTATTTTAATTTTTAGCATCTTAGTATAACAGTCACCCCCAAATCATTCACCCAGAGCACAAGACATCTGCATCCAATTGTCTGAAAAATACTGGCACAAATCTTTTTCTTCAGTGAACTCAGAGAAATCTGTAGTACAACTATATTACCTATTATATATATATGTATAAAAACACATGTATACATATGTTGTTTCTTTCAGCATCTCACACTAACTAGACAGTATGTTTATGCATATGTGTCTTATTTATTTACTGAGTACACTCTAAAGTTGCATCCATTTACATATAAAAGTGTCCAGTTTATCCTTCTTTATGGTGGAGTAGGACTCCATTATATAGAAATACAACTTTTTAAAAATCCATTCCTGGGGGCTGGGGATTTAGCTCAGCGGCATAAACACCTGCCTTGCAAGCAGGCAGTCGTGAGTTCGATCCCTGGTACCGATAAAAACGAAAAAGACAAAAAAAAAAATTAAAAATCCATTGCTCAATCAATGGGCATTTAGGTTGTTTCCAAGATCTGGCTATTATAAATTGTGCTATTATAAACATGAGTGCACATATACCGCTGTGTTATGATTTTTTAATTCTTTCGGGAAGATACCGAGAATAGCTGGGTCAAACTAGGACCTCTAAGTCCTAGTTTTCTGAGAAATCTCCACACTGATTTCCACAGTGGTTGCACCAGACTGCATTCCCAACAGTGGAGGCAGGTTCCTTTTTCCCCACAGCCCTTCCAGCATTTGTTATTGCTTGATTTTTTTTTTTTTTTTTGTCTTTTTCATTTTTATCAGTACTGGGGATCGAACTCACAACCGCCTGCTTGCAAGGCAGGTACTTATGCCGCTGAGCTAAATCCCCAGTCCTTATTGCTTGATTTCTTGATACTAGCCATTCTTTCTGGGGTGAGGTAGAATCTCAGTGTTGTTTTAATTTACATCTCTTGGATGACCAATGATGCTGAACTTTTTAAACATACTTATTTGCTGTTCATGTTTCTTCATCTGAGAAGTGTGTATTCATCTCAGATGTCCATTTTTAGACTGGATCTTTAAATATGGGAGGACTAATTTTTTTGAGTTCTTTATATGTTTTCAGTAGTACTCCTTTTCTGAGGAACAGCTGGCAAACATTTTCTCCCAGTGTGTGTTGTCTCTTCACTCTGTTGGTTGTTTCTCTTGATGTGCAAAAGCTTTTCAATAGGGTGAGATCCCAGTTTTTGATTCTTTGCGATAGTTTTTGTTCATTGGGAGTTTTGTTCCTAAGGTGCCTTCAATAGTTTTATCTATTCTATCTTCCAGCAGATTTAATGTTTCTGTTTTAATATTAAGATCTTTGATCCATTCTGTTTTTAGCTTAGTACATGGTGAAAGATATGGGTCCATTTTTAATCTTTGGCATGTGCAGAGCCAGTTTTTCCAGCACCATTTATTAAAGAGGCTATCTTTCTTGAATGTGTTTGGAACCTTTGTCAAAGATAAGGTGGCTTAGTGTGTCTGCAGTTGTTTCTGCATCTTCTAATATGTTCCATTGATCTTTGGGTCTGTTTTTTTTTTTTTTCTCAGTACCAAGCTGTTTTATCACAGTAGCTTTATTGTATAATTTCAAGTCAGAGATTGTGGTGCCCACTGTCTTGTCTTTGTTGCCCAGGATTGTCTTTGCTATTCTAGGTGTCTTCTTGTTCTAGATAAAATTTAGGATTGTTTTCTGTAATGCTGTGAGATATGCTATTGGAATTTTTTTGTTTGTTTGTTTTTGGTAATGGGGATCCAACTCATGACGTTGAGCTTGCCAGATAGGTGCTTATGCTGCTGAGCTAAATCCTTAGCCCCATGCTACTGGAATTTTGATTGAGATTACATTGTATCTGTATAATAGTTTTGGAAGTATGGCCATTTTCACTATATTGGTTCTTTCTACTCAAGAGCAAGGGATATCTCTTCATTTTCTAATATCTTCTTCAATCTCCTTTTTCAGAGTACTGTAGTTTTCAATGTAGAGGTTTTTTACATGCTTTGTTAGATTGATTCCTAGGTATTTCTTTTTTGGGGATGTTTGTTTTTTGGGGATTGTAAAAGATATTGTTTCCCTGATTTCTCTCTCAGTGAGTTTGTTATTCACATACAGGAAGGTTACTGATTTCTGAGAGTTGACTTTGCAATCAGCTACATTACTGAA